GCGGATAGATGAATATTTTGTTCGTGCATCCACATTCAAGTGTGACAGCACCATGACATTTTAGGTTCGCCCTGCACGGGCTCTAGTTAGACGCTGGAGAAAGTTCAAGACTAAGATATCCGATATTATTTCAGTTGAGCTGATCCTACTGTGATGTCGACAGGGGTATTTTGTCATTTCGTGAAAACTGGAACGATCAGCGATCAAGGTCAGTAATGTGGAATTACGTCCAGTTTACAGACAACAACGAAATGTTACAAATGCTACGAGATTTACTGTAATGGGTTACTCAGTTAGTTGAACGCTTTACAGGATACTATGTCATGGAAACAGGGGTATAAGTTTGAACACATAAGAATGTGGATAATGATACATTGTTAATATCTTATGGGCTAAAGTACGGCTGAGTTCAGTTGTTGCATTTCTTTGGGGAAGCGAATTCATCTCAAACTACCTTCGCGGAAGTGCTATCAAAATTGTCTGTTATAATGAAGTTCTATCAGTCTCAGTGACACACACGAAGTAAAATGTTATGAGAAGATGAAACTCTTTAGTTACCTCTTTGTACTGTTGTTCTATTGTTTGTGTGAGATACAGCTAGTGTGCCAAATTAGTGTTGCTTACACATTGCCAACACTTAACAATCTACACACGACTTCATCTATGTGGGATGGTATTTCAGTGCTGTTATTTGTGAATTGGACGATACGTGACACTAGACTTGATCAGAAGTGCTGGACTATTGTTAAAATAAATCCTAATTACTCAATCATAGTCACATTCTTTGTCTGACAGGATTGACCCTCATTAAGCAAACAATGTGTATAATTATGAAGATTGTTTCCAGACAAAGTGATAAATGAGTTCAGTGTCATTGTTAATAAAAAGGGTAGTTAACTCTTATGACAATGAGAATCTTGTTAATTTAAAAACAACTATATTTTAGTGGCATAATTGTTCATCATCCACCCACAGCCTTTTAATCAGAAATAGTTATTGTGCCAAATGTTTTCTTTATGGTTAGTTCCATCACTCATCTGCTCCTTGTCACAGTTGTGCGTTGCGAGCAACGGATAGGAATTACGCGCTATTGTCAATCGACTGAAGTTAGACATTGAAACCTCTGTATTCTGGTTTAGAGATAAGACACTTGCGTGCAAAACCGTAGGTCACGGATTCCATTGTTGCGTGCTGAGCTACGGATGCGCACTATTCTTGAGTTCCACACTATGGTGAAACGGCAGTCAATTGCCACCTGCTTTTCAACAATCGTCTGGCTATGTCCAACTCATGATCTTAACTATGAGAGTTCTACTATCTCCACAAATCCACTTTACCAATACACATATCCTCTGCTGTCCACATGATGTATGAAGTCATATTCAACTGAACATTTGTTTCAATGTCTTAGCTCACATCTTTAGTTGTAATCGAGTGGAGCGGTGAGGTTTGTGTGGTGTTCATTCCTATCGTGGTCACGATCAACAGCTAAACGAGAACGCAAGTCAGAATGAATGCCAATTCATTGTGGAAAATAAAATCACACAGAGAAGCCTGACACATACGTTGATTCGACAGAGCATTTTATGCATATCGTCCAACAAATTAATCTATCTACTCTCTGAGGTAGTGAACCTTTTCAACTCAAACTGGTCAACTTATTTTAACACACGTTTTCATTTTGTCCATAGCGTTCTGGGACGGCTACTCTCGAGGATTACCTCAACTGCTCACTTCGTTTTAATTACTGTCTGAACTGATTGCGACAATGTTCTTTGAACATTGTTTAGGGTTCATTTAGATTGTTCGCACTAATGTGTGATCTCCACTGAGTATGGGTTCTTGATATTCGATCAGG